TCTAAAATTAAGTTCAGCATTGCTGTGAAATTGCTGTGGTACCAAAATGGTCAGCAATTATGAGGTGTCAGTTCTGAAAAGGCAGATGATTGCCAAGTTCAGAGAGCTGTGATGCTCCATCTTATAATTACTTAACATCATTAGAGAGATGATTATGGAATAGCACTAGAGACCAAATCCTCCTGTCCATCCTGGGCTCTTGCCCAGCCTGTCTGCAGGAAAACTGAGTGGTGATTTGCAGATTGCTTGTTTGCCAAAATGTGGCATCCTCACTCAGCAGCAAATGGCTGGAATTGGGCACATGAGCCTCATGGGCTGAAAGCAGCAGCTCAGTCTGGGGGGTCAGGGAAGTGTATTTATGAAGTGCTCGTGGTGTAGGAGGCAGTAACACGAGCAGTCTGAGCTGGGAGTGCACCTTGGACAGCACAGACACGAAATCCAGACAAGCTGAGGAACCTTTCCTTGGGTACTGTTTCTGTTGGATTGGCTGCTGGGAGCAGGTTTGTAGGGAGCAACAGCTCGAGCAAGTTTTGTCCCCTGGGTGGTACAGCAGTGGCTTTATGTAAATACATATAGTGATAAAATCCCACGAAGAAATTCCTTGGGATAATTTGTTGGGGAGTTCCTCCCAGAGGAGGTCATACTGGAATGCACAGGCTGTGGTGACTGAGCAGTTTTCAGAATGCTTCAGAGCCTGCAATGGTGTTTGTTTGTTGTGTGAGCTCTGTGAAGTTGTCTGAGCACCTGTGGGAGTGGGGGCAGCAGAGCTGGCCCAGATTCCCACCCTGTCAGGACAGTGTTTGCAGAGCTGTGATGTTGCTGTGAATCCCAACTGGAGCCCCAGCTGGAGGCTGAGGTGCTGGCAGGTCCTGAGGGACATGAGCTACACCTTTCTCAAGGTGCTCTGAGTAGACACAGCTCAGCACTAAAAAACACCTGCAAGATAATCACAGATAATTGCATTTTGGCCTTTAAATACAGTCATAAATAACCAGGAGGCTGTGCTAGCTCCATTTCCTCAGTGACCAGCTGTTAAACAGGTTTTATTCTTCCACAGCTTTGCAAAGATCAGTGTGCAGCCTTCTCCTCCTGTCTCAGACTCTTTGTAAGCACTACTCAGACCAAACACCTCAGCAGCTGTGGCACAGCTCTGCCAGTCTGAGACTCCCTCCTAGCCATGGAACTGCAGATTGTTCTCTGATCTAGAATCTGTCACTCCGTGTTTCCCCTGCAAGATTTGTTCCCCTGTGTCTGCACCCTTGGCCAACAAACCTTCTCCACTGTCTCTCTGACCCTTTCCAAGAGGGAGGAAGAAGTGTGTACATCATTTTCCCTTCCTGGTCTGCAGCATCTGTTGGAGGCCAGAACAGCTGCTGTGGTGGCATTCCCTGTGTGTCGAGCAGAGTGGGAACATGGGATCTCTGAACAGTGCACTCCAAGAAAGACAACAGAAAGCCAAATTCAGCTCCTGCCCCTTGTGACAGTCTGGTGTGGACAGAGCTAGAGGGAAACACTCTGATCCCTGTGGTCAGTGTTGCCTTGTGCAGAACACAAACACCTGTGCAGTACGAGGCATTTCCCCAAACTGGTGGATGGTATCTCTTGCTGGAATTCGTGGGGTTGTGTCTGTTTGTGGGCTGGAAGCTGGAGAGGCACAGACCAGGACCTGAGGCATTAATTAGAAGTGTTATTTTTCTGAGCAGTAAAATGCAGCCCCTTTTATTCTCTGAAACACGTGCTGGAGGGTGCCAGTGTTCAAAGAACTCAGCCTCTGCTGAGCAGTAATGAAGACATTGTTAGTCTGTGGACAAAAAGGAAATCGTATGCCTTACTACAATTCCAGTTAAAAGCAGTTGTTATGGCAACTATTGCAGTATCTTTATCAGTATTTCTGCTGCACTGTTTGGGAGAGGCAGAAATCTCTTGCTCAGCCACGTGTGACTGACAATGGGAGACCAAGATGAGGATTCTGGTGATGTTTGAGGGGAACCTTCCCTGGGGCTGGGGAAGCATGGGTGACCCACAGATGCAGAGAGGGGATCAGAACATCTTCCCAAAGCTCTGGGTGCCTGGAAGGCCTGGCTGGAGTGCAGCCCTCTGGGTCTGCTCAGCAGTTTGGTGTCTCCATGTGCTGCTCCCAGGGAGGTGTGATGTGTCTTTACTGCAGGCCCAATGGTCCTACCCAGGTGTCTTACCAGAGTCAGACAAAGCTGTTGCCTCTGTGCTTAATGAGTGATTTAGGAGCACTGCAGTGTTTGTCTCACCTCTGTGGGTGCCTCAAGTGTAACACCATTAGCTTTGCCTTTGGATGTTGTAGTTTACCTGCAGACTTGTGTGTTTGGCTTCAAACCAAACTTCAGCTAGAATTTATTTTTCCCTCAGTGTTCTTTTTATCAGTTGGTTGTTCCCTTTTATAAGTTTTCAGCTTTGTTTTACAGTATTTTGCAGTGGTTATTACTTCAGGAGCACCTGGGGAGGTCAGAAAGGTGTTGTATACACAGAACTGTTGGCACATATCCTGCCAGAGGGATTTCTGCTCAGATTTTACAAGCAAGGGTAGTGCAGGTGCTTTTTCTGAGCTAAACACTGCACACCTGTAAGGTGCAGAGTGGACAAACAGCTCAGGTCAGCAACAGCTTTTAGCATCAGGAGCTCAGCACTTGACTAGAGGAAAGACAGAAAATGCTTGGGTTGAAATTCCACAGCTAAATGAGTATCAGCACGTCTGGCTCATCATACCTGGCTTTGTGCTGCCTTTTATGTCAGGAAATGAACCAGCTTTAGGCAAACATGAGCTGTCTGGTCAGCCTTGTCATCTCTTCTGTGTTGTTGTTCTGCACCTTCATTCTAGCTGGATAATTGCCTCTCTGCACTCTGTTCCTTCAGCCATGAGCTCCAAAGGACCTTTGTGATTGCAGAAAAAAGTTCTGGTTTGCTTTTTGACTTACAAGTCTTACATGCTGGCTTTACTTAGATGAGAAGTTCTAGACCACTTGGAAGAGTCCTCCATCATGTTAATACCACTTTTATAAAGATGCTAAACCATTGACTGTGTTTCACCAAATGCTGTGTGCTAACCAAACTTTTCTGTTGAGTCAAAGAACTAGAGAGTGGTCTCAGATAAGTTTAGGAGCCAAATGTCATTGACTGTGTGGAGTCATCTTTGGCAGTCTGTTGATTCTACAGTGCCCTTACCAGGCTTGGTATCGAGGTGGAGAGACAGAGTGGATCAATAGGCCACAATTCAAACAATAATCAAGAGTCAGGTTTTAATAACCATATTCCTCCTGGAAATTGTGCCACTTTGCAGGTTGTCACACAGGAATTCATGTACAGGAGAGAATGATGGTGCTCAAGCTAATTTGATCATCACCTAATATTAATCTTTCATGAAATGGCATGAGAATGTTTTCTATAAATCAACTGATCACTTCTGCAGACAGTCTGAAGTCTAAGTGGACAGACTGCACCAGTCAAACCTGACTTGTGTCAGCTTAGATATGCACAATGTTCTTCTCAGACGATGAAAGCTCCGTGTGCTTCAGGCTTTCCTGGGAAGCATCAGTCAAGGATTTAATACCTGAAAGCATCACTATAAAGAAGAATTATTATTTAGATTGGCCATCCTTGGCAGCAGTTATTGATTGTGAGAGCAAGTTGGTAAAGTCATGCCATGGGAAAATGAAGTGATATAAGTATGAACTGGTTTAAATCTGAAGTGCATTTTGAATATTTCTGTCTCTCTGCTAACACATTTGGGAGTGAGAGACTTCTGTAACTCTGACTGCTAAATGCACAGAGCTCTCAGGTTCAGATGTCCAGGCACAGCAGACACTGGAGCAGTGACAGGCACTGCATCCAGCTGCAGGCAGGAGGCTCAGGGCCCTCACACAGTCTGACTGTGGCTTCAGAGTCATTCCTCTGATGCTTGGACTACTTCTTAAGAATTCGAAAGTGGTACCTGCCAGAAATTTGAAGTTACTCTTGATGCTGGTTTTGTGGCTTGGTGATGGTTTTTTTTTTTTCCCTTTGTCTGATATGTACCCAGGTAAAATGGCCTCAATGGCAAAACAAGTGAGGAGCAGTAAAAATCAAGGTTATTCACTTCTCTAGCATAATGATGATCTTCCTTAATCTCTAAATAAAATAAGCTCTCTGAATTGCTGCCAAGTCTGACTAGATATGTTAAGCATAAATCTTAAAGCACAGGATGTGTTTTGGAAAGTTGCTGTCTGTAGGGTAACTTTTAAATTGTGTCTCTGCAGTGTTGATGTTGTACTTTTTCAACTGTTTAGAAAGGAATTCTGAGCATCCAGTTCCCTTTTGTGCAGGTTTCCAGTGGTGTGTGAGCTCTTCCCGTGGGTAGAAACCAGAGGCTCTTTGTGGAGCTCGGGGTGTGTGTGGGGGATCCAGGACAGTCCCTCAGTCAGTGTGTGTGTGTGGACATGCACGGGGTGAGTTGTGCCAGTTAGCAGCAGGATGGGCACAGCAGGTTCCATGGTGCTCCAGGATTTGGTGCCAATCTTGGCCCTGGGCTCGGGTGAGAACCACACAGTGATCCTCAGACTGTGGGCAGTGGCAGTGATTGCTCACTGGTTATCTGAGATGATCTGTAGACATGTTTGGGACAGAAAATTATAAAACAACTAAATAACAAAAATAGGATGCACAGAACACCCTCAGTAGCAGAGGCTGAAGAGCAGAATGTAACCTGTGGTGGTTGTTTTGAATTGAAATGAGTGACTTTGGTCAATGTTGTCTGCAGCAGAACAGTCACAGCTGGTATGGAAATCATTGGCACTTCATTTCCTACCTGTGTTTTCAGAAAATGGACAGATCTTCCTGAGGTGAGCTCTTGTCATCACTGCCTCTACTCCTGGTGTGAGTCAGGAGAGCACTGAGGCTCAGCAGCATTTGCTGAGATCAGACTTGGGTTAATGGAAACAAGGAAACCAGCACTTCCCTTCAGAGTGGATTATTCCCATGGAGACAGCCAGACAGTAATAGCGTTTGGACTTTTTTATTCAATAAAATTTTGAGTTATAAATATTCTCCATTTGTTCCCTATTTACAGCTGTAAAATATTTTAGGATAGCCTACCCATCACCTCTCACTCAATGTCTCTATAAATGCTGTGAAAACATCATCGAGAATTAAAAATGTCTTGATTTCAGCCCACAAACCCAATTTCTACACACTCACAAAATCAAATCAGACAAAAAGGAGGAGGGGAGGGATGGGAGGGATGGGGAGCAAGAGGGATCCAGTACAGCAGGCGCCAATGCAGGATTTGCTACACGGTAGCAGAAGAAATGGGTACAAAATCTAGTCTGCTACGTTGGCAAGTTTCTCAGGACATTTGTGATAGACCAGCGCTGCCCAGTGCATTTCTGAAGGACCAGCTGAAATCCAAACTCGTTTTCACTGTTCTCCTGCAGCTCCAGGCAGCGCTTGGATTTTCGGTTCTGGATAGGACCTCCCTTTAGAGATGGAAAAAGAGAGAAAAAGGGGCATTAAACACTGACCTGGGCTCTGTTGCTGCTGTGTGGTATTACAAATCACAGACCATTGCAGTGTCCACCTGCACAAATCCACTGCTGCTGTGGAAACAGGTTGGTCAGATCTGAGCTGAGCACTGAGGGTTCCTCTGGCCCAGGCTGCTGCAGTCCCTGGTGCTGCCTGGAGCAGCCTCCAGTGCCTGGTTTCCATGTCAGCAGTTTGGATTGCTGGAGTGGAGCTGTGTTCCTAGCCAAAGCTCTCTGTGCCTCAGGTCCCTGGACTGGGACTCTGCTGCACCTCTGAACTCCAAAAGGTCAGACAGGCCCAGTGCCTTGGCCAGGGGTGTAAAGGAGAAAAGGCAAAAAATTGGTTTTTCTTTGAATACTCAAACGTGTTTTGTGTCTGTTGCTAATCCTCAGTGTTGATTCTCTTTTCAGCTGGATGTGCTGTAGAGAAGCTCTGCCCTGTGAGCTGCAGAGAGTTTCACATCCCCAGAGCTGTAATGCAAGTAAGTACAGGTCTCTGTGACATTACATCCTGGTGCAGGTGACACAAATTACATTGTCCCCCCTTTAAAGCTGTTTGCAGTTGGTTCTTTCACCCTCTCCTGTCTAATGAGGGTAATAGATAACTTGTAGTGTTAACACTCCCTCAGGTCACACTTCCTGCTCCACAGTGCAAAGCAGAACATTTTAATTCCTTTGCTGCTACTGTGCTTTCTGTAGACCTGCTGTAGGTGAGAGGTTTCAAGTCCTTCACTAAAGTAGACTTTGTCCAGTAACTTGGCATTTGAGGACATCACTTGGTGTGCCTGCAAACCACAGGCAGAGCCATGGGAGTCTGTTAACAACCAACTTTCAGAAGGAGCAGCACGTTGCAAGTACATATTTATCTATTCCAGATCAAAGCTAATAAGCTGTGCAAAGTAACTTGGTCAGTGTTTGCTGAGCTGCTCTGTGGTTTTTGTTTTGGTCTGTTGGGGGTGGAGAATGCTCAGTGCTCAAACCTCCTCTCCCCCTGGTCCTGCAGGGTGTCTAGTGGGCTGGGTCCTCTCTGGAATGTGGTTCCTTGCAGAGCTTAGCTGAAAGCTGTCACAGAGTTTCTGGAGTGTCAAGAAGACCTCCCAGCTGGAGGTGTCAGCACTGCTGAAAATCAGGGACAGCTATTTTTAACGAGTTATTCTTCAGTGTACGCTGTTCCTGGCAGAGCTCAAACCTGCTTTCTGCTCATCACATTAAAGCTCATGTTACTCTGCCTAAAAGAGGCAAAAAAGAAGTGCTCTTGCCAACTTGCCCAAGCATGGGTCTGTCAGGAAAAGGTCTCCAAAGGTTAATCAGTGTAGCCAGTCTCATATCACACAGACTGTATAGATCATTACATTCACTAGTCTATTAATTTTCTATTTGGACCTCAATCAGTGACCCCAAATATTTACATGTTCTCTCTGCCTTTGAGGCAGAAACTCTAATCTTCACTGTTGCTTCAATACATTTGAATCAGAGAGTTATGGTGTGGTGTGTGTGACACAGGTTCTCTCTGCTCCAAACACAACACTTGTTCTTATGCATTTCCCCAAAACACTGGGGTGAATTTGCAGTGACTGTTAGCACACCAAATGTAACCCAAAAGAAAATTGTTCAGGTTTTACAAGACATTTTTTCCTCTCTGATGACTTCTGAATGAATGTGGATGCAGTGAGGAAGTGTTTGTGGGACAGTAATCAATGTGTTGGTGACATTGGCTGATGTAACTGAGCTCAGGTTTTCTGCTTTGGAGTTGTGCAAAGGATATAGGGATATATAACATACAGGTAACTGATTAATTCCTGCTCAGATCTAAAGCTGCACAACACATCTCCCATCTGTGCTCTATGTACATGGTAAATTATAATCTTCCATCAATTAATTTTGACTATTTACACTTAAGTGTTTCTCAGTGAAGTATATTGTTAGCTGTTACTCTCACTCACTTGGTTCCTCATCTATTTGGTATGACTGCTGTGAAATCAGGTGCATTTAACTCCTGTTATGTGTAGCAAGTAAGTTGATTTTCCCAATGCTAAACAAAACTAATTGCTAGGTACAACATAAACAGAAGTGGCATTAGAATAGGGGTCAGCCAGAGCTTTTCTTCAGGAAAACATTTATTTATTTTTTTTTTCCTCCTCAGGTATCCCCAGCACTGACATCCTCCTGCTGCCCCCAGCACAGAGGGACTGGAGACATCCTCTGCCAACAGTTCCAGCTCTGATGGCTGTGTCACCTCTGGGCTGGGACCACTACCCACATGGCTGAGTGAGTGTTCAGCTTTTACAGAACCATAAATGCTCAAGTTTTATATTGCTGCAACAAATTTCTAATACTGCAGCTGTGCCAAATCCACTGCTGCAGCCTCATCTATCACATCTTGTAAAAACCCCTGGGGTGGTCGCTCAGCCTCTGCCAGGCTGTTCCCAGGCTCCTCACAACCCTCGTGGGGAAGGAATTTTTCCTCATGGCCAATCTAAACCTCCCCTGGCACAATTTGAGGCTGTTTCCTCTTGTCCCTCCATCTGGTACCTGGGAGAAGACACTAACCCCCACCTGGCCCCAAACTCCTGTCAGGTAGTTGAGGGCAATAAGGTTCCCCCCAAGTCTCCTGTTCTCGAGGCCAAATAATGACTGAAAATGTTGTTCTAACCTGGCAAACCTCAAAAGCTAATGTAAAGACAACTTCACATTGTTCTTCACCAGTCTTAGCAAAGGTGGTACCTAGTTATTAAGTTCAGCCAGACAAAAAGAAACTCCTTTCAGCACAATCAGAAAACCTGAGATTGTTGTGTGTTCCCCAGGAGAGACAAGATGTTTTCCTCAGACACATACTGACAGATTCCCAGGGAGTTATGAGTTTTCAGGTGAGACCAATGCCTGTTGGTTACTGGGCCATAGCTCTTACTAAAACGTGACTCCTTTGGAAAACAAAAACACTGAACAACATTTTTCTCTAGTGTGTGAGAGTGGTATTCAATTAATCTAGGTTTTCTAGGCTGAACACTCAATATGAAGGAGGTTTAACTGGTATAAACCCAGAAACTGAGCTACTTGCATTGCCATTCTATGCTTATGATTAAACCAGTCTCATGGGACCAGGAAATAAATTGAGTGCCAAGCAAAGAAAATTAAGAAGTGAATTTGCACCAGTATTTGAACTGATCTGCATGTTCTAACAGGGGAGTTTAGGCTCTCTGGGACTCTGATCATGGCATCTAGTTATTCAAAGTGGCTTTTTCCCTAGTAAGCACACAAATCTGATTATTACTGATAAGGAAGGACTGTCCCTGCTGCTGCAGCACAAGCTTTGCACAATTACTCTGACAATAATGGGAATCACCTATTTTTTGTCTGTTAAGCTGAGTGTCACCGCTGGCAGGTTCAGGGTACCAGACTTGATGGCCTGATCATCTCACTGAATAACAAACCCTCTTTTCTTGTCATGTATAGCATTACTTCATCCTTATTTATTTGACTTTCAAGGGAACATTTGTATCATCTCTGCATGGTGGACTGAAGGGTGTTATTTGGTAGCCAAACTTTGCTTGACCTTGTCGCCATTGGAATGAAAGATGCACCTTTTGCTGACTTCATCAGGACAGAGTTTTGTTTTCATCTGAGCAGTCAGAAAACATGTGCTCAAGGCAAACATCCTCCCCTCCTCGTGCTGAGGAGCCCAAGGAGTGATGGGTGCAGTAATTCCCAGTGGGGCCCAAGCCCAGAGCTCTGGTCTCCAGCCCTGGAGGCTGCACCTGGTGAGTGCTGGTTCTCAGCCCCAGGCTCTGGGAACATGCTGCATTTGGCCATCCCTTTCCTGCCTGAGGTGACAATGCTGTGCAGCCTCTTGTCAGCCCCAGCTGCCACCTGCAGCTCTTGGATGGAGTGTCTGGACAGCTGAAACTAGGAAAAATCAAGTGGAACTAGAACAAATAATTTCTTTGTAAATAAATGTGGTGTTTAAAATTATATGCTAAAATATGCAAATAGGGTATCTCTTTTGAAGGAAAAACATGGGTATGTGTTAACTTCCTTTGAATTAATTCAGCACAAGTGTCTTTGGAGCTGAAATGCAGTCCCCAGGAGAGTAAATACTGCATAATGTGATCTGCTAGGAAAGCTTGAAATGCACCCACTAAAAGCTCATTCTGCTGCTGTATTCACACACAAACTTTCTAGCTGGGAAGTTCTACACCTGATTTGCAAAGATTAAAACTTGCTACTAGAAAAATTACTCCAAAGAGAAGACTAAACTGATACAAAGTGATTTCAGTTGCCACTAGTTACAACAATAATTGCCAAGCAAATTTAGCATTAGGTGTTAATACAGTAATATTTGTGTTTCATTTTTCTGCATGTGTTTTACACAAACATTTCCATACTTAAGCTGAATTCAAGACTGAATGCTTTCGGGTTTTTGTACTTCTCAGCACTTCCATTCTGCATGAAGATAGGCCAAGAGGCAGAGAAAAGAAATATATTAATACACCTGGTTTTAAATTCATATTGTCATATTAAAACATGACAAGAATATTAAGCTGCACATGAATTGGGGACAATTTACTAGTGCAGAATGAAAATTGAACCACTATCACTCATGTCTAAGCAGGACAGTGGTTCAGGTTCTTGGCCCCAGCTCTAACACCCTGTGCAGTGATCCAGGGAGTTAAAACACTCTACAGGTAAGAAAGATTTGCTCAAAGATGGGCAAAGAACACCTAACCACAGAGGAAAGTGCTGCTGAGGTGCTGGAGCCACACACCAACCCTGCCCTGGGGCTGTGGGAATGCTCTTTGGGGTCTGAGGTTCAAAACTCACACTGGGCAGCAGTGAGTGTTCCACAACAGCCTCACTGAAGAGCCAGGGCCTGACCCACTCTGTTGGCTCATTTAATTGGCTAATTAGGGTCTGTTTTTCTTTGTTTCTCCAGCAGGATCCAAGTCTGTCTCTCTTGGTGCTCTGAGCAGCAGCACTGCCTCATTATCCAGCTGCAGAGCAGTGTGTGTGTGCCACAGCTACAGCTGCAGAGTGTTTGTGTCCCTTGGGGGTAGAGACACCATGAGCCCAAAGTCCTGATAAATTAGTGATGCTGATTTCCTATCCTGTGGCTCTCAGAGTGGCAGGACCTGAGGAGGCTGATGGGGATCACTAATCCCTGAGCCACACACAGCTCTGCCCAATGTTCCCTGGGTGCTCTGCTGGCCTTGGCTAAGGTGTGGGCTGCAAACTGGAGTGGACATCAGGAGGAAATGAGCTGCTGATTAATGCTCTTAGGCTCTGCCCTCCCTGTGCTCAGCAAGGGGCACGTGAGAGTCTCTGCTTGCTGCACCCTAGAGTGCTGCACAGCCTTCATTTTCATGAGCTAAAGGTGGGCAAGAACAGTTCAGACTGACAGGCAAAGGCCAGAGGCTGCAGGAGGAACAAGATGCAAATGCTTTCAGTAATTTTAAGGTCTGTTCTTTCTTTAGAAAGCTAAACAGTATCTAGTTTATCTGTTATCTAATACCTATTTGAATGAGATGTAAATAGTCATATTTATCTGTGGAATATGGTAACAACTCAGTAACTAATTTGCTTGTCTGCCTTCCCTGTTCCTTCCAAAGCAATTCCTACTGTGCTATTTAGGAACTGATGCACACCACACATACATACTACAGCTGTCAGCACCAACTGTTATTGACAGCTCCTCTGGCTGACACAAACCACCCCCTCCAACCATTCCAGAACTGAAACAGTCCCTGTGCAAACCTCCAGCTCTGAGTAGGATGGGCTAGGTGAACTGTCAGACACCTAGAAGACTTCCCAGCAGAAAACATTTCCAAAATAAACATTTCCCTACGAGAAGACTTGACAAACAGCCTGAACATTCTTGAACAGCACCCAGTCGATGGAATCTTTTCAGGGCTAGTTTACATAATTTGACATAATTACAGTTATAAACACTTGCAGAAGCTTTGGAAGCAAGAATGTCACTGAGGCCTACATTTATTGGGTCTCATTGCATTTGGCAGCTGTACAAAACTGTGGAGCACAGAAATGTGCTCTGATAGCTCCTGCTCTCACACACACAGTGCAAGCTGAGAATGCTCAGTGCAGGTTTGGCCCCTGCAGAAACACCAGCAGTGCTGGTTCCCTGGGCAGCAGTGCACAGCTGGCTGCTGGAGGCATTTCAAATCACAGCAAAAGGTTACATTTTAAAAAAGGACTCAGGGGGGTGTGTGTATACACACATGCTGTAATCAGCTATGTGAATTAATAGCCAATGAAATGATTCTGTAACATGCCTAGAGCAGCAAGGAGGCTCCTAGCTGAGGAGGATCCCATTTTCTGCCTCTGCCATATGGACATGTCTCCAGCTGTGCAGGGAGGAGCCAGATGTTACCTAGCTGAAGGACACATTTTCCCAAAAGCTGAGCAGTGTCCCCTGGCTCAGTCTGCTCTCCAGGGCCAGCACAGCCTGTCCTGGAGCTCCTCACAGGAGTGTGGCACAGTCAGTGTTTCCACATTTAAAACCCTGCACATTTGTGCTGCCATGGAGAGTCCAGTTTGCCAGGTTTACCCTGCTGGCAGTGTGAGCAAGGCTGAACAGGACAACAATACTCAAATGTTACTGGGACACTCTTCAAAGAAATAGGACAATTATACTTTTTAGAAATGGTACAAAACGTGGCGTGCAGGGATGGCTGCAGAGAGAGCCCTGCCATGATGGGACTGGTGTTAAAATTTGTGAGAAGACAAGATTAAAACTTTGTCCTTGGGGAGATGGGATGTCTTTCCAATTCAGGCATTTGAGGTATGCTGTGTGAGTGACCTTTAAAAACACAGATCTGGATTACTTTCAAGGAGAAACACAAATTATGCTAATAGTATGCTCTATGGAGTAGTGTCCAGATGCTAAACTGTATTAACAAGGTCCTAAAATACATGGATTGTGGCTGTTGAAGAAAAAGAAACTAATGAGCTGACAGAAAAGATATTTGCAAACCCACATGGATGTTACAGGAAAATGAAATGCAGGAATAAAATTACCTCAATGATGAGCCTCAGCCTTTGGGCTGGAGAACACAACTGGATTTGTAGGTTCAGAACTGCAGAGGAGCAACTATAGGAGGGCAGGCAAACTCACACCAGACAGGACATACCTGCCAGAAGCTAAATCATGCTCTTGTTTTAGAAAGTAATGTCATTTCATTTCTTGATCCAAAGCAACCGACGTGTCAGTATCTATGGTAAACTTCCATGTTCTTAAACTTACCTTTGGGAAATCTCATCTTCCTCTGAAAGACCAAATTTGACTCTTTAGCTTCCAACCACTGGGACCTGTTTTGTCTTCAGGCTAAGCTGTGATGTCCCTCTGAGGAAACACTGTCGTGCTTTGAGTCACCTTCCCCTTTCTCCTAGCCAGACCAGCCAGAATGCTCTCCATAAACACTACTCACAGAGCAGGTTTTCTAGCCCCAGAACTTTTGTGTCTTCTTAACAGCCTCAGTTACATTTCCAGATCACTTATGACACATGGACACCAGGCCTGGACTCAGTGTCCTACCAGCATTGTCATCACTGTGCAGTCACTCCTCAGCACTCCCTGCACCTCTCTCGTGCTCCCTCACCCCCACACAGAATAGCATTAGCCTCTTTGAGGAAGAACCTGCAAAAGTGGCTCATGATGAGGCTGTTATCACCAGTGACTACCACACTGCTCCCTTTTCTGAGTTGCTGCTTATGACCAAATAAGCAAAAAGATTTCTGTTCCTGATTCCTAAATAGGTTACTTTGCCTTTGACTCCACTGAAGTAACATCATCTGTTTTTGACAGAGATAGTTCTGTCACAGTACTCTGCCTTGAAAGCAAATTGTTTATGGTGAGCTCAGAAAACAGAACATAAGTTCTGTACTCTCCCGAGGGAGCTGACATTGGGATCAAGTGTAAATACACCTTCCTGGCTCTGTGCAAAGGAAAATCTGGGTCTGTTCTGTTAGCAGGTTACAACTCAGATACAGACACAGAGCTTTTAAACTTTCTGAAACATCTGCTGGGTAAGACTTACCTGAGTAAATTGCCAGTAAAGCTTCATTCTCTTGGCTTTGGCATAGCTGCATTCGATGAGCCTGGGCCTGCTGTTGACATCCACCAGGCAGCGGTTGTCGTTGTCGTCGACCGTGGGGCTCAGCACCCCCACGTGGAGCTCCTGGCTGCTCGTGTAATAAACATTCTGCAACAGGAAGCACAGACACCAGTTGTGGCCTCTGGACCACCCAGCACAGTTCCCCAAAGCTGATGGCAAACACAAACTGCTGAGCAGCAGTTGGCTGAGCCTACTGAGCCTTCCCATGGCTTCTGTCACACAGGGAGCAAAGCAACAGCTCAGAGGTTGTTCTAAATTACCCATTAGTGGTACACTGTCATCAACAAGTCACTGTTGGTTAAGCATTCCAGAGGAAATAGGCAAACACAACTGATTGGTGCTTTTTGATTTCTGTTCCCTATGGTCATGTTCCCTGAGTCTTCAAGGAGCAAGACACATCCTCTAGCAGGACTAGAGTTGGCTGTCAGTACTGGGAAGGGGTTTGGTATTCCAGCACATTGTCACCACAAACCATGGCAGAAGGAAACAAAGAGGGATTGCACTGTTTTTCCTGACATAGCAGCCTGGGAACAGCTGAGCAGGCTTGGCTGCAGCTCCGAGGGTCACGCTGCGGCTCGGGGTGGGTGCCAGGGACAGCAGTGTCCTGCAGCCCCCAGGGTGAGCTCTGTGTCAGCCTGTCAGGCTGCAGGTTTCACCTGCCCAGAGCAGCCCCAACCCATAGGCAGCTCCACCAGCTCTTCCTAGTGCCAAAGCAGCTCTGGCTCAGCCTGAGCATCCCTCTGGGCAGAAGCAGTGATGGCTCTGGCTAGAGGAGTTACTCAATAATGTTTCCTGGCAAAACTTTATACAAGTAGAACAATCAAATGCAATTATGCTTAATAGATTTAATTAGCAGTTTGCTGCTTATTTTCAGAGAGCTCAGTCTACCTGCTAATATCACTTCATTTTTCATTGTGGCCCAGTCAGAAAAGAGGTGTGAAATCTCAAATTCTCACCTAGGTAAAGTATGCTCTTACAGATTAAAACCATGCTCATGTTTTATCAGCTCATGTGTAGCCCTATAAACACCAGTTTGCACTTGTGATTTAAGTGAGTGGCTGAATGGGTAAGTGGTCCTAGCAGCACTTCATGAGGATGCTTAAAAAAGCATGGAGCAGCACAGGAGCTGCTTTGCAGCCCATTCCAGCACAACAGGAACAACTCAGGCACTGTTCAAAACACTTCAAAAGACACAGGCAAAACACCTTTTACCAGCACATTTGTTCCTACAATATTGCAGCATCACCGTCAACTGCCACAACAGGACAGACATTCTGCAGTACTTCAGGAAAGGGATTTTGGAGCAGCCACTCCAGGACTGGCCTGGAAGGCCAAATGACTGAATCTTGCTTGGGTGTTGGTGCCAAAGCACAGCAACAACTCCCTAACTAACTCTGTGACAAAATGAGCCTCCTTACATTTCAATTAGGCTCTTCTAGCCCACACTGCTTTACCATCTACTTTTTCCACTACAGCAGCACTGGTACAGCTCTGGCTCCTGGAGGGAGCACACCTCATTACTCACAGGAAGACACGATACAAGACAAGCAAACTGACAAGTTTCACAAACAAAAAGACAAGTATGGCATCATTAAAATAATAAAATGATTCCCAGTGTCACTTTGGTGAAGGCATGAGGTTCAGTCAAGGCACACTTGTTATTTCTTTTAAACAATTTTGTCAAGAACAACAATTATTTGTCCTAAAACGACAGCTAAAAGACAATGAGTGGCAGTTGAGCTGCATGGCCTAGGATTCTCAAAAAATCATCACAGTGACTAGGAACTCAGAGAAAATCTGGTGTGTGAAACATTCACCCCACTGCATTTCAGGTGAGCTACTTTGCTGACTGTTACATGTTCTATTTAATATTCTAAGCCTCACTTTTTCTGAAAAGTTGCCTGATTATCTAGATAGAAAACAACGGAAGTCCAGGTAATTGAGCCAACTCTTTGCCCAGTGACAATATTTCAAGCACCCACATGATGCTGTAGAGTACAGGGAAGGTAATTGAACTCTGCTTACTGGGACACAAATGCTCAGCTTTGGCCTCTCAGTGCCATGTGGAGTTTCTATTCATGAGAAGTTTGCCCTAAAAGGTCAAGTCGTGATTCCCATTGCAATTAACACTGAAATTCCACTGACTTTAAGTGCAATGAGATTTTTGGCTCCAAGTTTATTATTAAACTTTGAAAAGCCACCAGACTTGATAAAGACTTCAGAGCTGAAGTGGTTTGCCAGTTGCAGTAAATTATTCATAGGAGCTGGTTTATCATGTAGCAAAAAGTTACACTAAGATGTTCAACTTAACACAAGATGATTATCTGAAGGATAAATTGCCAACTCCCCACTGGAAGTTTAAAGCAATACACACCAATTTTCAGGCTGAAAGCCATTTGTAATCCTCATGGCAATGTTCCCAGATGAAATCACACTGCAGACTGGAACATGACTCTGCATTTATAATGAGCAAACTTCATGCTCTCCACAGCAGTATTTATGTGCTACTCTGCTCTTGGCATAGTAACTACAGGGATAAGAAACCTGATTCACCACTGGATTCTTCCATCTTTGAACCATATTTTTCTCCAAATGAATCCATGAAGTCAGTTATTGTCAGGAGTAACAGCTAAACACATTAGCTCCAAGGTCTCACAGCAGATTCATACTTGACTACAACTCCAGCTAAAGAGCAGTCAGGTGGATTCAGTAAATCAGGCTTAGCTAACATTGCCATTACTTGGCTATTTGTCTTGTCCCTGACTTTTATTCCTGCATTTCTTGTTACATAAACACATCGGAAAGAACTTTCCAACCCTGATAAGAAAATGCTCCACAGAATCCAAATTCATTGTGAGCAACACAAACACACAACGCTGAGCTAAAAATCAGGTGTTTCCCCATTTCCTGGCCATGAAGGCAGTGGCAGGGGAGGGTGGGCAGCCACAGGAACAGCATCTCTGAGTCTGTGCTGCCCCAGAACACTTACTGCTGGGGAGGGGAAGGTGTAAGAACACATGCTGAGAAGTACACAGAGTTGCCCCTAAGCCATAGGTCAACCCTGAGAAGATTCATGGTGTTTTTCTGGCTACAACTTTCAAACCATTATAAGGCTATTTTACCCATATTGAGGATTTATTCACTATCAAACTTGTCTTGGTGAGGAGCTGACAAACACCTAGAATGCCAAATGTAGCAACACCATGATTTAGACTTTGCAAAGTGTGAGTCACTGTTTCACTTGTGTTCAATTTGTACCTACAGAATTAACACACCAGGATCCTGGGGGTCTGACCTGCTTGCTCTCCTTCAGCCTGCACTGCTTGAGCCCTGACAGCACTGTGTGATAGCTCCCAGGGTGCTCAGGAACCTCAGTGGTACAGGGTGCTGCTGTAAGCACAGGCACAAAGACACAAAAATGTTAACGCTTAATAGAAGAGAGACAGGCACTAAATGCCAGAACCTTTTCTTTTTAATCTAAATTCATGAACCTACAGTTCAGTGCAATACCTAATCCTGGTGTTGCCTACTTTGTATTCTGCTGTGGTTTTATTTACGACAAGCAAACAAAAATCCTGTTCCTTAGGCTTCACGTTCTGAATAGAACTGTCAGTTGTTGGTTTATGTATCTGCTCTCAGGATTCACTGCCATCGTTTTCCTAATGCTGGTAACTACAGGATTCACAGGGCCTGGATAAATGAAAATTGTACCTGATTCACTTCCTAAAGCTTCTCTTGGGTTCGCTCTTATCTCTGCACAAGATCTCCACAGCTCTTTCCCAGGGAATAATAACAGGCAGCAAACAAAATAAATCAGAGCCATTCTGGCCTAGACAACTGTGTCCCTTTTTTAAAAGCCTGTTCTGCCACTTGGTCCCACCTGCATTTTCCTTTACCCTCTCCCACCAGTGCTTCTTTACCTTTCAGTTTTCTTCCTGCATTTCCACAGAATCCCATGTCTGTCTTGCCCTGTTTTCTTCCCCTTCAGCACATGCTCAACCAGCAAACGAACTCAGCCTGGTCCCATGTGCTGATGTCCATCCTTTATACCAGAGTTTGCTCCTTCTGGCCAAATTAAACTCTGAGCTAGTTCACTGCCATCTGTGTATAAGCATTTGGCAGCTCAGCATCAATAAGTTTAAAAGCAGATTTTTTTAATCTTTCCATAGCTAGACCCAAATGCTTCAGATTACTCTGGGCACAGTCACATTCAGGTAATCGTGTTCATTTAATGCACATCTTCATCTGGAGCCTCTTCCAGAGTCACTAGATCTTGTTACACTTTCTCAAGATGCTCTGCTGTCAACATCTTGATCTCCAGAGTGCTGAGGTTCCTCGTTGGTTTTTTGTTTGTTCATTTTGTTTTGCTTTTTAATCCAGTCCTATCATTGCTAATGCTGTACAGGAGTGAGCAGTGACTGTGTCTACAGAGGTCCTTTAATTCCTCTTGTGTTCCTCAAGTGCTGCAATTTTGTGATGGCAACAAGTACAGCCCTGGGAAGAACTCCCAGCTCCCTACAGGTATCCCCTGACTCTTGTGGTACCACACTGACACCAGCACATGCAAATACAGGAAAAATTGCCTAAACTGTAATTATTTTAGTGCTGAAGATAATAAAATGCAGACACTGAGCCTGTACACTAGGACCTCATGCAGAAACTGCAGCTTCGATGCTGCCTGTGCTCGTGAAGAAATTGCAAAGTTCACAGAGCTCTGCAAGTAAAATTGAAATGTGTCTCAGGCTGGGAATACTGTGCTCACATCCCAGAGCTTCCTCTCTGCTCCTGCTTTTCTGTTCCCTGAGAGAAGAGCAAAGAAAAACACACCTGATATATTTCCATCACTGAATGTGCTTTTAGTGCTAATGACATTTGTGAAAGGGAAGATGGAAATGAAGAATGACATTAGAAGTAACCAAGATTTCTTACCATGAGTACTAAAGTCTAAAGATACTTTCTAGACTAGGAACAAATAAATAAATAAATCTGTTTAAAAAGCAGAAAATTGCTGTGATGCCAAGCAGGACATTAATGCCAACTCTGCTGAGTGAGCCTCAGGGCTGTGGCTAAGAACACTGCCAGCTTGG